TGTGTGTGTGTGTGTGTGTGTGTGTGTGTGTGTGTGTGTGTGTGTGTGTGTCGTATGTGTTTGTTTAATCATTTCATTTGGTCCCTTAAGGCAGGGGTTCCCAAACTTCCATTCCACGACCCACCTAGAGAAGTATAATCTATATCATGACCCACCAAAATATTTGGGATAAAAAAACAGCTGACATTACTTTAAGCTTAATCTTAATTAAGTTTAATATGGCAGAAATTAAGAATTTAAGAAAAATAACCAATTTATTTTATACAGTAATACAACTGTAAAATTTCACTACTAATATTTGTGACTCTGCAGCACAAAAGCAGTCATAAGCAGCACAGGTATATTTGAAGCAATAACCAACGATACATTGTATGGGTCAAAATTATACATTTCTCTTTTATGCCAAAAATCATTAGGATATTAAGTAAAGATCATGTTCCATGAAGATATTTAGTAAATTTCCTACTGTAACTATATCAAAACTTAATGTTTGATTAGTAATATGCATTGCTAAGAACTTCATTTGAACAACTTTAAAGATGATTTTCTCATTATTTAGATTTTTTTGCACCCTCAGATTCCAGATTTTCAAATCGTTGTATCTTGGTTACAATTAACCATGCATTTGTGCCCCGCTCACCCCGTATATGTGAAATGCTTTTTACACACTGTTTACTTATTAGTAGGCAGCCAAATGCATATGAAGGAACGAAAATAGCGCCGAGTTCAAACAGACGATAGAAATGAATGGACACAGACTACCTGAAACAGTTTTCATAACATTTGAATTTTCCGGCGTAATGCAATCTCATGCAGAATACAGCGCAGTGAAGTGAGCGAGTTTCTTCTTGTTAATAATGCGGACCCAGCCTTTTAATAATGACATCGCTCTGAGACCCTCACTGTTGTTACAACTCGTACGCGCCCGCGCTTCAAAACACGCAACGCATGTTTAAAATCGAACTAAGAATTTTGCAATTCGTTATTAATGTTGGTAGCCTATATCATGCAACCCTAGTGAGTGTGAGAGTGTGAGAGTGTGAGAGCGTGTGAGCGTGTGCGAGTGTGACTGTGAGTGTGAGCGTGAGAGAGTGTGACTGTGAGAGAGTGTGACTGTGAGCGTGTGAGAGTGTGTGTGTGAGAGTGTGTGAGCGTGTGAGCGTGTGCGAGTGTGACTGAGTGCGAGTGCGAGTGTGAGTGTGAACGTGAGTGTGAGCGTGTGTGTGAGCGTGTGTGAGAGAGCGTGTGAGAGAGCGTGAGAGAGTGTGACTGTGAGTGTGAGCGTGTGAGAGTGTGACTGTGAGCGTGTGAGTGTGAGTGAGTGTGAGTGTGAACGTGAGTGTGAACGTGAGAGAGCGTGTGAGAGAGCGTGAGAGAGTGTGACTGTGAGTGTGAGCGTGTGAGAGTGTGACTGTGAGCGTGTGAGTGTGAGTGAGTGTGACTGTGAGTGTGAGCGTGTGAGCGTGTGCGAGTGTGACTGAGTGCGAGTGCGAGTGTGAGTGTGAACGTGAGTGTGAGCGTGTGTGTGAGCGTGTGTGAGAGAGCGTGTGAGAGAGCGTGAGAGAGTGTGACTGTGAGTGTGAGCGTGTGAGAGTGTGACTGTGAGCGTGTGAGTGTGAGTGAGTGTGACTGTGAGCGTGTGAGTGAGTGTGACTGTGAGCGTGTGAGAGTGTGAGTGTGAGTGAGTGTGAGCGTGTGAGAGTGTGTGTGTGTGTGTGTGTGTGTGTGTCATTGAAACGTGAATTTAGTTGCAGCCAAGTGACTTTGTGCGACCCACAGTTTGAAAACCCCTGCCTTAAGGTGACTTTAAACCTTCACTAACATTATTTGCACCAAAAACGTGGTCCTTGTCCAGCGTCTCTGATCCTCAGAATGTGAATGACCTGCTCTCTGACCTCTGCACTTGTGACATGAGTAATAGCTCTCATCAAATAAACATCAGCTAATTCAGATTCATCAGGTGGACATTGATGTCAGTGATGTGACGTGATTACATGCACATCAATATTCCGAAATTAATTGGAAATCTGCAATGTTCTGATTAGTGCTGATTCGTGTAAACATGACAGTCTGATTCAGTAGAAATGTATTGCATGTGAACACATTCAGAAAATCCATATCAGCAGACTTCAGCAATCAAGTATATAGAAATTATCTGATGCCTGTATGTGTATAAACATCATAATCAGAGTATGGCTGCAATCCGACTATAGACCTCAAGCTGAATTTGATGTGCATGTAAACATAGCCAGTGTTTGACAGGGTTATTTTAGTATCACTGACAGTTAAATGCAATGGAATCAATGCATGTAAAACAAACTATATGAGGTGATCCCAGATAATTATTATTATTTTGAAAGAAGATGTTTTTTTTCTGTGAATAGTTTTAGAATTTTTGTCATAGGTTAAATTGAAAAATTATATATAATGAATAATGTTGTCATTTTAGTATGTATATTTTTGTTAATTATTTTTTAAGAAAAAATGTTAAATTATTTCAAACGTTGTATTGAAATTATATTGTTATCATAATACTGTTGATTTTGCCATGAACATAGCCTTTGCTGCTGAAATGGCATTAAACAATCAAACAAACAAACAATAAATAAATACTATCATAGTTTTTTTTTAATATTTTGTATTAGTTTTTATATTTCATTTTGATTTTAAAGTTTTAGTAACTTTATATTTTATTTTATTTTCATGCCAGTTTGATCTATTTTACAATATTAAGTTAAATGAAAATAAGAAATGTTGCCTTGACTATAGACTGAAATAAAATTAAGTTTTTTGTGTATTTCATTTTATTTCATTTAAAGTTTATTTTATTTATGGTTTTAGTTTTAGTAAAAGATAATAATCTTAGCGTGTGTGAGCAAACGAGTGGCTGTTTGATTGATGTTTTACTTTGAAACTCTCATACACAGAATCTGCAAAAGCTGCAAACCCCAGAGCTGCAGTGTGTGAGTACAGATAGTGTGTGTGTGTGTGTGAGTACAGAGAGAGTGTGTGTGTGTGTGTGTGTGAGAGTGCGTGCGTGAGTGCGGGTGTGTGTGAGTGTGTGAGTGAGTGCGTGCGTGCGTGTGTGAGTGTGTGAGTACAGATAGTGTGAGTGTGTGTGTGTGTGTGTGTGTGTGAGAGTGCGTGCGTGCGTGAGTGCGTGCGTGAGTGCGGGTGTGTGTGAGTGTGTGAGTACAGATAGTGTGTGAGTGTGTGAGTGCGTGTGTGTGTGTGAGTACAGATAGTGTGAGTGAGTGCGTGCGTGAGTGCGTGAGTGCGGGTGTGTGTGAGTGTGTGAGTACAGATAGTGTGTGAGTGTGTGAGTGCGTGTGTGTGTGAGTGTGTGAGTACAGATAGTGTGTGAGTGCGTGTGAGTGTGTGAGTACAGATAGTGTGAGTGTGTGCGTGCGTGTGTGTGTGTGAGTGTGAGTACAGATAGTGTGAGTGTGTGTGTGTGTGTAAGTAGAGGTTTAGTGTTCACTGCTCTCCTTTGCTCTGGTTTAATGGGTTCTCAGGTGGTGGTTTTCCTGTAGTTCTGGGCTCTAGACGGAGTGAGTGAGTGTATGTTTCAGTAGGTTTATCTCTTTCTCTTTCTCTTTCTCTTTCTGTAGAGTAATCGTCCAGAGAGAGAGTGGCCCGTCAAGTGTCTAAAAGTCTATCATGGCATTAAAAAGAAGCTCCGTCCACCAACATGGTGAGAATAAATCTGAATTACGAATTGAATCTGAAAACTCTACTGAACCCTAAAGAGCTTTCTAGCTAGACAGCATGTCAGAGGTGCTCATGACATCAAGATCATGTTGGGTGTTTAATATTTTGGAAAGCTTTGCAAATAAAATATTGACATGGTTGAATGCAACATGCAGTTGTGCTGTGATTTCTGATCAGCAGGTGTCAGTGTGAGCCAAGACAAAATTATAATATTTTGAAATGGAACAATTTATTGAAAAGGAAGTTTTTTTGAGTATCATATTTGCTCCATCAGGCTTTTATGGCGCATGTAGTCTGATACAGTGAGAATATGGAGGAAAAACAGCTCAATTTTATTCAGAGACTCAAACGGAGCAAAAATATGAATTTGCTGCAGATGCTGATATTTCTGTGATGAAACTCTGCTGCTTGTGCTGTAAATCAATGAGATGTTTATAACAGTGCAGCAGATACTGACATAAAATTATAAAATATGAGTCGTCTCTATATCTCCAGTAATATGTCTGAGTGAGATGAGAGTGAAATGCTCCAAACATATAATGCAGTGATTGAGAGCTGAAGAAATAAAGACTCCTCAGAAGATGTGAGATGTTCTGGAGGCTTGTGAAGATCATTCCTAAAGGATAAACAGCAGGCTTTATAGGGTTAAAGGAGCAAATGTGCTTTTAAAAGCTCTTACGTGAATCATCTAGTTTCTTCTATTTGAGCTGTGAAGTATTTAAATCATATTGTGATGAGCTGCTTGATAAGAGACGTCAGTGTAGAGAATGATCAGGTCAGATTCATTTACAGCATCTCAGAGCCAATCAGACCAAAAAATCCCGTCTTAATAATCTCTGGCTCTTTATATCATCGATTTACAGCTGCATTTGAGTTTCACAATTAAAGATTGAGTGCTGTTTAATGCTTTAATCTCTGTCTGTCTGTAGTTGGGGTCTCACAGTCATCTATGAAAGTGAGAAGCAGGAAAAGCAGGAGAGACAACAGTGGTGAGAACACACGCATTTACTCACACACACACACACACACACACACATTACTCACACACACACATACACACACATTTACTCACACACACACTTACTCACACACACACACACACACACACACACACACACACACACACACACACACACACACACTCACTCACGCACGGACACACACACACACACACATTTACACATTTACACACACACACACACACACACACGCACTGACACACACACATACACATACGGACACACAGAGACAGCCACAGACACAGAAACACACACAGACACATACACGGACACACACAGACAGACACACACACACGGACACACACAGACAGACAGACACACACAGACAGACAGACACACAGACACAGACACACATACAGACACGGACACACACACACACACGGAAACACACACAGGTTTGTTTTTGAGAAAGTGAGGACATCCCACAGGCATAATGGTTTTTCTACTGTACAGACCGTATATTCTATTGCCCTACACCAACCCTACCCCTAAACCTACCCCTCACAGGAGACTTTGTGCTATTTCAGATTTTCAATACACTCCATTCTGTGTGATTTATAAGCGTTTTGAAAAGTGGGGACATGGGGTAATGTCCTGAAAAGTCACCTTCTCCTTGTAATACCTGT